GAGAGGGAAAATGAGTTATGTGTGAGGGTGGGAGGGGGGAGGGAGGAGAGAATAAGAATATGACATAAAGGGAAGGAGATGGAATAAGAGTTGAGGTGTGAGGGTGGGGAGGAGTAAGGGGGAGAGAATACGAGTATGACATGAAGGGAGAGAAAATTAATAAGGGTTGAGGTATGAGGGTGGGGGAGGGGTGGAGGGAGGAGAAAACATGAGTATGGAATAAAGGGATAGAGAGATAACAAGAGTAGGGGTGTGAGGGTGGACGGGGGTATAGAGGGGTTGGTGTTGTCGAGGAAGGAGAGAACAAGAGTATGGGATAAAGGGACAGATAATGAAAGTAGGGGTGTGATGGCCAGGGAATAAGGGGATAGTTGAGCTAAGTCTGTGTCCCAAGGTAGGTACAGGAAAGTGGGAGAAACAGCAGTATCAGAGATAAGGGTATAAAGGTTGAGAAATGATATAGGGGTTACTGGAGAAGGGATTAAACGATAAAGTATGGTAGAAGTGAGGACAATACTTACTCAGAGTCCCGTACATCTGGCAGACTTCGATGAAGTGATATCATGTCACTAGCATACATATTGAAGGCGTTGTTTTGCCAACCATCATCATATTTTTTCCGTTCTGTTGGCGAAAGTTTTTCCTTGTCAATCACTACTGCTTTTCCATTCTCCCCTGTAACAGAAAGACAAATTTAATTTAAAAAAACAATTCTGGAATCCCCTGGTCAAATGACTTACCTCCATGTCCTTCACCTATTCAAATAACCTCACCACAAAAAATCCTTGTTTAAAACTTGACCTTCAAAACAATTTTGTTGCAAAAATATAATTGAATAGCTGTTGTCTCAGGACATTAAATGTCAGTGTGTTCAAAGTTTTTTCCCCTTCATAACAAAATAAGGTTTATCCTAAAATAGTATGTCAATCATAACAATGTTATGTGAACAAAGTCAATTGTAAGGAAATGCAAGCAGACGTTCCACCTAAATATAGCCCTGTAATCAAGGAGGACCCGACAAGATCAAACTAACAGTTGTCAAAGACACAGTAACAGCCAGGGCTGAGTCAGACAGCATTGGTCATTGTGTGGCTAATTGGAAAAGATTAAAAACACCATTTGGATTAATTTAATTGTGTGTTGGTCCCCGTAATTTTGTTTATTGATATGTCTCGATAATTAGTGAGGAAGTTGTCAGACAAAGATGGCATCTGTCTCTTGGTCTTCCTCACTAGCATCTATCAAATCCTCCGGACAGATTCAAGGGAGGTAACAACTCCCACTCTGTCTATTTATAGACACACCTGTTTGTTATCACAATCACATGACAGAAGAATTTTCAATGTCCTATATATACCGGGTATGTGTAAACGCAAGACAGCATCCAGGGGAGATAACTCCAGATGTCTACACACAAATCAACTGTTCCATGGTGACCTGCCTACACTAAGGCCAAATAAATTTAATTACTTGGTTTTCAGGCCAACGTTCACTGTGGGCATTACCTTGTATTTTTATAGTTGTGTAGAGACCCGTCATAGAGCAAGCCTCCGAAAATCCCCCCACGATGTTCCAGACGAGAATCACGAACCCCCAAATCCTTATTTTGTACCGAAATGAGCGCCATTTGTACAAAAGACTAATAAGTCATAATCATTTCAAGGCTTGCCTGTATATCAATCCTTATCTTTATTCAAATGTTTTCGGGATTGGGTGACTAACGGGTAAAAACAAAATGCGGACCAATTTTCCGGATTTTTTTTAAAGACGGCGGCTGGTGTATTCCCTTCTTTTTTTTAATTATTACTTTCACGATAAAATCGGCAATGCGGTGCCCTAAAATGAAATGCGCGCGGGCCTGAGAACCAAGTAATCAATTTGTTTTGCCCTTACAATTACTACAGTCCATATCTGACTTTTCAGTATTAGTTTGTAAATATCTATTGTTTCTAGTATTAGTCTCCCTGTGTTGCACTGTGTCTTGTCTACAGTGAACTATAAACACACTAGTCCAGCTAGTCCTTACCACTATTTAATGGTCCTTTAGTAGTCATATCAGTTTTTGCTATTATAAATAGAACCTTTCTGACAATGATGGATACCACAATAAAAACAAGATCATCCTGTACACTAACGCTGAGTTTCCATTACGTTTTTGTGAATTGGGAAACAAGAATTTGACAATATAGCGACAAGGATCTGACGTTCAATTTCACATTTAAGCACATTTCGTTTGCTGGTGAATAAATGATCACAATAAAATTTTACTCGATACATAATTCGAAGGAAAAATAAATTCTGATAAAACTTATCTCTGACTGAAGAGATTTCTCGTCAGAAATTTATACCAAAATCAACCCCACCTTTAAAGCAATGGTCCTAAAACAGCGCCAACAGTAGTTTTATAAAGATGATAACATTAAGTACAGGCAAAATAGTATACCTGAGGCAATTACAACTGTCGTTTAAACCAATTTTTCCTGACCTCTGACCCCACATATATTATTCACTGTGACCTCTGACCCTGCATGTATAACAAACTGTATAATACACATATTCCTGGCTACTGATATCTCACACACATACAAAATGAATCTTGTACCATAATCCTGATCTCCGACACCAATTGCTGTAAAGTATGTTAAACAGGAGCACAAATTATCACTTATCTATTTTAATTAACCATCAAGAAATTAATTAAATTATAATATTTCTGTCATGTTTTAAATATTTCACTTCTATCTTATTGAGATAGGATGTGTAGAGGTACGGAAATGAACAGTAACGGTTTGACAATATAACATAATTATTCATTCATTTCAGTTTAGAAATTTCTCAGTATATTGCCACTGAAAGAATCACTTTCCATAATTAGCTTGTGAATATATGTGTTTATCATACATGACTTGGTAGCCTGTTAAAAGATGTAATGCTTCATGTTACCACAGTAGACACTTATAGTCTGATGTATGCATCATCGCTGACATCGCTATGAAAACTTTTACCATAAGATAGGGCTCCAAATATTGTAACGCTTTCTTATACGAGACAGCACAATAAGAATTTGTATATCTATACAAGATACACTATGGAGACATCTACATCAGCCAAACAAATACCTACATGTGCTACAGCAATCAGAACGTAACAGTACAACTCGGATGTAGTGTACCATTTAGATATCCTCTACAAACACAACAAGAATTGTCGGAGAACACAATAGATTGCTTAATTAATAGAAAACATAAAAAATAAGTAGGTCCAAAACTGGTGAAATATTTTAAGAAAATGCATTTTTTTTATCCTGTTTGTCTTCCTTGTAGCAATGTTTGTCTGCTCAGAAAACTCTGTTCAAAAAGTCACACCTAAGGACAGATGTTGAGTGCTATATATACTAGTATATATTGTGAGTTTAAACACTTCTGACCAAAGCTTACACCAGAATCTTTGTCATAAAACATCAAATCTTAAACATGTAAAAAAAAAAAGGTTTAGTTCGAATGCACTTCATTGATCAACATTAGACCCCTACAGAACCTTATCACCCCAAATATCAACACCCTAGTGCAAATATTAATGGTCGTATTAAAGAATATCAGTTACATAGAAAAAGGTTAAATGCTGACGAGATGCGACTTAATAAGCAATCCAGTGTTCCTCAAATAGAGACAATTTAGAAACAGTTGACCTTTCACCAACGGATTCCATCGATGTATTTATAGCATACCCTACGCTGACATATCTCTTCTGCTGAATGTTTGTCGACATCTGATAGAACTCTTGCAAAAGCTTCAAAGTTTTTGATTTTTCTGATCACAATATATACACTAGATTGATTTCAACAATTCATGTGTTGTTTAGTACCCAATGAATGCAGTGCAAGTCAACAATTCGAAGTTTGTAGTCAGTTTGTACAATATTAGTACATGTAATACAAGTTAAAATTAGTGGCCAAAATGTTAAATGCTGAAAACACATATTAGACTTCAGGATCCTGTATACCAATGCTAGAAACTGTAGCTAAAAAGTATAAGAAACTTGCTTTTTCGGCATTACAATTATAAGATATGATAAATCAAACCAAAAACCAAACCTTGTGGGACTTTGTAAGTCGGGGACTCAAACCTTTCATCTCAAATTGTTACTGTCGCTCTAACCACAGACCTACCTGGTCAACAGAAGTGTCCCATAGCTGTCAAACTTCCCTCATTAGGAGGGGGACTCACTCATTTTGATCAAAATTTACCAATCTCCCCTGAAACTCCCTAATTGCAGTGCAAACTCAAACATGCTCAAAATCTACAGCCTGTGGTCAAATGATCTAGTTACTGAAGGTTGTGTGTAATGACCATAACAGGTGTGTCTGAATCAAATGGATGCTTTCTGGAGTTAATTTGATGCATTAGAAAGGAAAGATAACTGAGCAGAGCAGTTTCAGTCGCATTTCACACACTTATAAGCCCCTCACTGCAAATGTGGAATGAGGGAGATCTCACTGAAGATTTAAGAGGTTGGCACCTATAGTGTCCTGACCCAAAGTTCGTGCTAGTTATATATCAAAAGCAAATTTCAAGGGAGGAAACAGTATATATAAAATACCAAGGGAGGTTACTGTATATGTAAATTACCAAGGGAGGTTACTGTATATATAAATTACTGAGGGAGGTTACTGTATACGTAAATTATCAAGGGAGGTTACTGTACATGTAAATTACCAAGGGAGGTTACTGTATATATAAATTACCAAGGGAGGTTACTCCATATATAAATTACTGAGGGAAGTAACTGTACATGTAAATTACCAAGGGAGGTTACTGAATATATAAATTACCAAGGGAGGTTACTCCATATATAAATTACTGAGGGAAGTAACTGTACATGTAAATTACCAAGGGAGGCTACTGTATATATAAATTACCAAGGGAGGCTACTGTATATATAAATTACCAAGGGAGGCTACTGTATATATAAATTACCAAGGGAGGCTACTGTATATATAAATTACCAAGGGAGGCTACTGTATATATAAATTACCAAGGGAGGGTACTGTATATATAAATTACCAAGGGAGGCTACTGTATATATAAATTACCAAGGGAGGGTACTGTATATAGAAAGGAGGCAATAAAAAACAAGAGGCCCATGGGCCTTAACTGTCTCCTGAGTCTATAGTATTTATTTTTGTTGTTGAAATATGTACCAATTTGAGTAAATAATAGTATAATGTTAACTTAACTTTGTCAGGACCATGAGCTGATCATTCCTAGACCAATTTTAAGTGAGATCGGCCTATTAGAACTTAGTATATAAATTACTGAGGGAGGTTACTGTATACGTAAATTATCAAGGGAGGTTACTGTACATGTAAATTACCAAGGGAGGTTACTGAATATATAAATTACCAAGGGAGGTTACTGTATATATAAATTACTGAGGGAAGTAACTGTACATGTAAAATACCAAGGGAGGTTACTGTATATGTAAATTACCAATGGAGGTTACTGTATATATAAATTACTGAGGGAAGTAACTGTACATGTAAATTACCGAGGGAGGTTACTGTATATATAAATTACCCATGGAGGTTACTGTATATGTAAATTACCAATGGAGGTTACTGTATATATAAATTACTGAGGGAAGTAACTGTACATGTAAAATACCAAGGGAGGTTA